TTCTTTATGAATATAGCAAGGGTGTTAAAAAATCTTGAATTTTCAGCCAGTTTCGGTGTCTCAGCCTGTAATCCCACTCTTTGGGAGGCCAAGGTGAGTGGATTGCCTGAACCCATGGGTTTGAGACCTGCCTGGTCAACTTGACGAGACCTCATCTCTACAGTAAATCAAAAATTAGCCAGGCATGGTAGCATGTGCTTGTAGTTCCAGCTACTCAGAAGGCTGAGGCATAAGGATTGCCAGAGCCCAGCAGGTCGAGGTTGCAGTGACCAGGAGTGGCCACTGCAATCCAGTCTGGGTGACAGTGAGACTCCAACCCAATAAAAAATTAAAAAATAAAAAACCTTGAATTGTCTAGTATCATGCAAGAACAATATCCTATCTTCAGTAGACTTTATTCTTCAAACTGTTCTAGTAATATTTTACTTTCTGTTGGTTCATGTAAGTTTTTATCAGTCTTTGTAAGACAGCTATACCAAGCATTTAGAGAAATTTACCTTTTTTTTGCAGATTCATTAAAGGACTATCATTTCAACAAGACTACCTTGAGGACAGCTGTGACAAAAACAGTTATTCTATGGAGCTGAAGTTTTTATGGGGACACATGAGAAGTATCAATCAATTAGCCAATGGATTAGTAATCTAAGATGGGGCAAGTGAGTCACAACATGAGAATAAGAGAGGGTAGTTACTAAAAGAGAGATGCCATAGTCACTCTTACAGGAATGATTTATGAAAATCTTCACTGAAGAAGACATGTGACTTGTAATAGTGAATGCAGTGCAAATCTCCCATTCAGGTAGAAGGATGAAAATTTTAAATAAGAGAAATATTATATACTTTGCACATATTTTGTTATTTCTGTTGCCAATGCACAAATTTCTCCTTTAACTTTAATATATATCCATTGGTTCACAATTAATACTGTTTTTAAAGTGATGGGAAGGAAGCTATTATACAATAACCACATATTGTTATACTTACCTGTGATATTATGCCACTAAATATGTCAATATATTTTTGATCCTAAGAAAAATAAAAAGGTTCATGATGGAATGGCATTCTGACTTCTAAGTTTATTTTTTCTTATATCTCTAAAGAGAGAGAGTGGTCATAGCTGCTTTCTTCTTCAATATCAACAGATAAGTTTCTCTCATTAGTTCACTATTATGGAATCTTACATAGTATGATGCACTCATGGGAGTGACATTCTATTATCTCTGTCATGTTCTATTGGTTGTAAGATAGTCATTGTGTTCACCTTCACTCCAGGTGAGGGCATTATACAAAAGAGTGAATCACCAAAGTTATACCTTACCATGTCTTTTTTTTGTCTGTCTAGTGAGCTCTTACTCTTCAATTGTGCAAAAAAAAAGTTAGCTTATGTTAAGTTTGAGCAGAGAATCTATAGCTGTTTTGTGTTGCTTTTTAAATTTTTAGAGAGCTTAAATTTTTATAGGTAAGTTTTTTAAAGAAATAATTAATGTCTGTAATTAAGACAGCTTTCATTTGAAACTTTTTTATCTCATCAAATGAATTTAGTCATGCATTTTTTTCTTTCTTCTTTCCTCCATTGCTTAAAGATACTATACTACAAAGACACTGTACATACACACACACACATACACACAAACACAAACATAAATGTTCTTATATGCAGATAATTAATATATATAAACCCATAAATGTGCAGGATGGTAGGTACTTTTTATAAATGCCTTTTTGCATTTTTAAATTTTAGGAAAATATTTAAGAAACTTTCAGACCAAAAGCTATATTTTCTACTGTACCAAGTGTACTCTCCTACATATTACTGACATGAGAAGTATTTGTAAATGACAAATTCTATCACTCTCAATGATAAAAACTAGAGAAAATTAACCTATGTTAACAATACATATTACTTTAAGGAAATGTAGAATTTATTGAAATTTTCTATTTAGTATTTGAGAAACTATATTATAATTCCACAATATATTTTTCTAGAAGATATATTTCTATCCACCAAAGTCAATTATGATAACTGAGTGATATACCTATTTAAAAAGTGTCACTGGCGTGCAGACAAGATGGCAACCATACAGGTCAGACTGTGAGAGTCTCAGTAAAACAAGTGTCCATAAAGACTCTCTGCATGAGTAGGCATGTGCTGGTGGGTTAGGGAACGTTCACCAGAGGGGAGACTCAGATTCATGCACCCAAGGCCCCCTCTGAAGGTGACCACAAGCCCCCACCACTCTGAGATTCAAGTCACAGGCATGCAAGATTGTCTACTGTTCACAGGACTCTCCTGAGAAAAGCCTGCCAAATGGAGCTAATTCTCATCACCTGTCACCTGGCCCATAACATCACCTTTTGTAGCAAATCAGCTGGAGGCTTGGATTCAAACAGTGGAGGGAGATGATCAGGAAGAGTCAGAAAGGAGCCCCACGCCCAGTGAAGAAACACCAACCACAGACATTTTATCTGTCCCAGGACCAGGCAAAGACCTGCATTGCCCTGCCCAGCTCTGCCCAGCTCTGCCCAGACTCCAACTTGGGACCTAAGGTAATCTCATCAAACTGAGAGAGACAGAAGCCACTCCCCCATGCTGGATCAGACACAGATCAGATCTGAGTGGCAGACTTGACAGGCAGCAAGACAGGTGAATACAGATCTGTGCCACCCTCCTTCCACAGTAGGCCTGGGGCATCTGACCCAAACTGTGAGTAGCCCTATCAGCCTGCACTAAGAGCTACAGATCATAGTTGAAAGGATGTTGGACTTACAATGTCAAGAAGAACCACCTCAGAGCAAGTTTGGTTCCTTGCTTTTATTTTTATTATTTGTCTGTTTGTTTTGTTCATTTTTATTAGTTTTTTGTTTAGTTTTTTTCACTATCTCTTTCTGATTTTGATAATGTTATAGTACTTGTTTTGTTTCTGCTATTTTACTAATTTTTTTCTTTAGATTTCCTGTTTGTGTGTGGAAAGAGTACATCAATAGGGAGGCCTTTGTTTGTTTGTTTGTTTGTGTGTTTGTATGATTGTCTGTATGCTTTAGTTTCTTTTTTTTTTTTTTACTCTTTTCTGTCTTTGTGTTTCTTTTCTGTCTTTGTGTCTCTTTTCAGTTTTGCTGTTTTCCCTCTTATTCTTCTCTTGCTCCACCTTCCTCTTGCCCCGCTCCTTCCTTTTTCTATTATTTTCCTTTTTCTTATCTTATTTTGCTTTCAGGGAACAAACCTATACCCTCAATGCATGGACAGATTGTAAGGCAGTGGGAAGTGGGTTCCAGACTATCCATACACCTGTCAGTGGATACTTGGATCTGCAAATAGATTTTGAATCACAGCTCTCCCCTCAATTAAATCTCAAAACTGCAAAAAGTACAGCCCCAAACCCACAGTCTAGCTTCAGATTTGAACAAAGCCAGAGGAATCACATAAGGTAGAATACTAGATTGAGTAAACAGAAGTAAAAGCAACCTCACCATCTCTGAACAACAGAATTAAAGAAGGGGGGGGAAGGTGGGGGGAGGAAAATCTATACAAATGAAGAAAAACCAACAGAAGAAGATGGATCTCACACAGACCCCTGGGAGGTGAAACACTAAGAAAACAGACTTCAGAATACAAACAATGATGCGCCTCCAGAATAACTGGCCTCAAACAACAAACCCAGATATCAAGATGATATCAAGACATTAATAGAGATAATAAATAGAATTGAGGAAAGACAAGAGGAAAATATGAAGGAGTTGATAACTGAGATAACAGCAGTAAAGAATACCGTGAATGAAATAGATAGTAAACTGATAAGCATGGAAAGCAGAATTAGCCAAGCAGAAGAAAGAATTTCAGCGCGTGAGGACCAAAATATAGAACTAATCCAAACTGTCAAAAACATAGAAAAGAAGCTTAAGAAGACAGAACAAAACCTTTAAGAGATGAGCAATAACTTCAAGAGACCGAATATAAGACTTACTGGCCTTTCTGAGGCAGAGAGAGAGACAGAGACCACCCTGGAACAAACATTTCATGAAATTATTCAAGAAAACTTCCCTCATCTCATCAGTGATGTGAAAATTCAAACACAAGAGATTCAGAGAACCAGTGCAAGACAACAAATGAGAAGACCACCTAGCAGACACATAATAATTCACCCAAGCAAAGTAAATATGAAAGAAAAAATCCTAAAGGCAGCAAGAGAAAAATGTCAGACTACCTTCCTGGGAAGAGCAATTAGAATAGCAGCAGATTTATCTACAGACACACTTCAGGCTAGGAGAGTTTGGAGCTCCATCTTCAAATTCTCAAAGATGAACAATTTCAACCAAGAATAACTTATCCACCTAAGCTAAACTTCAGCACTGAGGGAGAATTAAAACCTTCCCCAGACATCCAATCCCTAAGAACTTATGGTGCCACGAGAGTAGCTCTACAAGAAACACTTAAGAAAGCATTAAACACAGACTGGAAAAAATAATGATAATGTTATTCATAAGAGTGAAGGAAAAAGATTGAAAACACATATGAATCAACCCCAAAATCAAAATAAAAACAACAAACAACTCTATAAGAACCTCATGACAGGTATAAACTATCACATTTCAATAATTAGCCTGAATGTGAATGGCCTAAAGGCACTACTGAAAAGACATAGAATAACAAAATGAATAAAAATATCATGAAGCAACAATATACTGTCTCCAGAGACTTATCTCACCAGATAGGCCATAAACAGACTCAAACTAAGGCGACAGGAAGAAAAATTTCAGGCAAACGGAACACAAAAGACAGCAGGAGTTGCAATCTTGCTCCTCTCCTACCTGGATAACTGTGGTAGTTCTAGAGCTAATACATGCCGACGGGCGCTGACCCCCTTCGCAGGGGGGATGTGTGCATTTATCAGATCACAACCAACATGGTCGGCTTCCCTCCCTGGCCCCGGCCGGGGGGTGGGCGCAGGCAGTTTTGGTGACTCTAGATAACCTCGGGCTGATCGCACGCCCCTCATAGACTGGTTTTGGAGGTAGCCCAGCATTTGGGTGAGAGCACAGTAAGGACAATTGCTATGGATGGTACAGAAGGCTTGGTTAGAGGCCAGAAAGTCCTGGATTCTGGGGCACCAATAAAAATTCCTGTTGGTCCTGAGACATTGGGCAGAATCATGAATGTCATTGGAGAGCCTATTGATGAGAGAGATCCCATCAAAACTAAACAATTTGCTCCCATTCATGCTGAGGCTCCTGAGTTCGTGGAAATTAGTGTGGAGCAGGAAATTCTGGTGACTGGAATCAAGGTGGTGGATCTGCTAGCTCCTTATGCCAAAGGTGGCAAAATCGGGCTCTTTGGTGGTGTTAGAGTTGGCAAGACTGTGCTGATCATGGAGTTAATCAACAATGTCGCCAAAGCTCATGGTGGTTACTCTGTGTTTGCTGGTGTTGGTGAGAGGACTCACGAGGGCAATGACTTATACCATGAAATGATTGAGTCTGGTGTTATCAACTTAAAAGATGCTACTTCCAAGGCAGCACTGGTGTACGGTCAAATGAATGAGCCACCTGGTGCTCATGCCCAAGTAGCTCTGACTGGACTGACTGTGGCTGAATACTTCAGAGACCAAGGAGGTCAAGATGTACTGTTGTTTATTGATAATATCTTCCACTTCACTCAGGCTGGCTCAGAAGTGTCTGCCTTACTGGGCAGACTCCCCTCTGCTGTGGGCTATCAGCCTACCCTGGCCACTGACATGGGTACTATGCAGGAAAGAATCACCACCACCAAGAAGGGCTCTATCACCTCTGTGCAGGCTATCTATGTGCCTTCTGATGACTTGACTGATCCCACTCCTGACACGACCTTTGCCCACTTGGATGCAACCACTGTACTGTCTCATGCTATTGCTGAGCTGGGCATCTATCCTGCTGTGGATCCTTTGGACTCCACCTCCTGCATCATGGATCCCAACATTGTGGGCGCTGAGCATTATGACGGTGCCCGTGGGGTGCAAAAGATCCTGCAGGACTACAAATCCCTCCAGGACATCATTGCCGTCCTAGGTATGGATGAACTGTCTGAGGAAGACAAGCTGACTGTGTCTCGTGCACGGAAAATACAGCGTTTCTTATCTCAGCCATTCCACATTGCTGAGGTTTTCACAGGTCATATGGGGAAGCTGGTACCCCTGAAGGAGTCTATCAAAGGATTCCAGCAGATCTTGGCAGGTGAATATGACCATCTCCCAGAACAGGCCTTCTATATGGTGGGACCCATTGAAGAAGCTGTGGCAAAAACTGATAAGCTGGCGGAAGAGCATGCATCGTGAGGGGTTCTTTGGCAAAACTAAGCAAGCACTCATCATCTTGTAATGCCCCTCCTTGCCCCAAATTCAAAAAGCTTCAGTTTTCTGTTGGCTGTTCAAAGCCTTGATTAAAGGAGGCATGTTCTATTGAAAGAGTATTTAAGGTTTCCAATAAAATGTAAAGCCTTCAAAAAATAAAAATAAAAGCCCCGGACCAGATGGCTTTCCAGTAGAATTCTATAAAACATACAAGAATGAGTTGATACCAATCCTACTGAAAGTATTCCAGGTGATAAAGAAAGATGGAACTCCCCCAAATCATTTTATGAAGCTAACATCACATTGATACCAAAATCAGGTAAAGATCCAACAAAGAAAGAGCACTACAGGCCAATATCCTTGATGAATATAGATGCTAAAATTCTCAACAAGATCCTGCAAGCTGAATTCAACAACACATCCCAAAAATCATCCACCATGACCAAGTAGACTTCATCCCCAGGATGAAAGGCTGGTTCAACATTCATAAGACCATAAACATAGCAAAATACATCAACAGATGTAAAAACAAAAGCCACAAAATTATATCATTAGATACAGAAAAAGCTTTGATAAAATCCAACACTCCTTCTTGATAAAAACACTCAAACATCTAGCCATAGATAAAAACTGCCTCAAAATAGTAAAAGCCATCTATGAGAAACCCACAGTCAGCATACTGCTAAACAGACAGAAATTGGAATCATCTCCCCTGAAAACTGAAACAAGACAAGGATGCCCACTCTCACCCCTCTTGTTCAACATAGTTTTGGAAGTCTTAGCTAAAGCAATCAGAGAGAGAAGGCAATCAAGTGTATCCAAATAGAAATAGAGGAAATCAAGTTATCCTTCTTTGCAGATGGCATGATGCTATATCTTGAAAATCCAAGAGAATCTGTCAAAAACCTCCATGCACTGAGAAAGGACTTTGGCAAGGTCTCAGGGTATAAAATAAATGTGCAAAAGACAATCACATTTCTATACACCAATAATAAACAGAAATTCAAATAAAAAACACAATTCCATTCACAATAACCACACAAAAAAATGAAATATCTTGGCATCTTCTAAGCAGAAACATGAAAGATCTTTACAATGGAAACTACAAAACAGTGCTCAAAGAAATCAAAGATGACGCAGACAAGTGGAAAAATATTCCATGTTCGTGGATTGGAAGAATCAACATTGTTAAGATGTCCATCCTACCTAAGGCAATCTACATATTTAACACAATACCCATCAAATTACCAGCAGCATTCTTCTCAGACATAGAAACAACAATACAGGAATTCATATGGAGATATAAATGACCAATAGTCAAAACAATCCTCCGAAAAAAAAAAAAAAGCAGGAGGTATTACACTCCCAGACTTTAAAATTTATTATAAAGCTACAATTATCAAATCAGCCTGTATTGGTACAAGAAAAAGCATGTAGACCAATGTAATAGAATTGAGATTCCAGAAGCAAAACTTCAATTTCTCAACCAACTCATCTTTGACAAAGCCTCCACCACCAAGCACTGGTGAGAGGAAAACCTATTCAATAAATGATTCTGGGAAAACTGACTGACCACATACAGAAGACTGAAACAAGACCCCTACCTATTCCCATACACAAAAATTAACTCTAAATGGATCAGAGACCTAAACCTCAAACTATAAGAACCTTAGAAAATGCAGGAGACATTCTTATGGAAATTGGAACTAGCAACCGATTCCTAATCAAAACCCCAAGTGCCCATGCTATAAGAGATAATATAGATAAGTGGGACCTCATCAAACTGACAAGCTTCTGAAAAGCCAAAGAAACTATCAAGAGAGCAAGGAGACAGTCCACAAACTGGGAAAAAATATTTGCCAACTCTATGTGTGGCAAAGGCCTAACATCTAGGATCTACAAGGAACTTAAACATGCTGAAAAGAAAAAAACAAACAGCCGCATTATAAAGTGGGCAAAAGATATGAATAGATACTTCTCAAAAGAAGTATATATGAACAGCCAACAGATACAGGAAAAAATGTTCATTCTCACAAGTCATCAAATAAATGCAAATTAAAGCTGCACTGAGATAACACCTAACTCCATCAGAATGGCCATCATCAACTCAAAAAATAACAGATACTGGAGAGGATGTGATGAAAAAGGAACACTTCTACACTGTTGATAGTAGTGTAAACTAGTACAGCCTTTGTGGACAACAGTGTGGAGATTCCTAAAAGTTCTGAAAATCAACCTTCTATATGACCCCACAATCCCCCTTCTGGAAATATACCTGGGAGAACTCAAATCACTCTATAAAAAAGATTCTTGCACACATATTTATCACAGCATTGTTCACAATATCAAGAACATGGAACCAACCGTGCTACCCATCAAAAGAGGAGTGGATTAAAAAATGTGGTACATATATAAAATGGAATACTATACAGTTATAAAGAACAAAATCATGAATTTCGCAGCAACCTTGATGGATTTAGAGTTTATAATGCTGAGTGCTCTTTTACAGAAACAAAGAACTGAGTATCACATGTTCTCACTCATAAGTGGATCTTAAACAACTATTGTAATACTGTAAGAAAAGGATTGACAGTAGTGGGAAACTGTGGGGGGTGATGGGACAGGGAGGTGGGATTGGCAGTAGTGGGTATCTGCCTGGGGAAGGGAGGCACACCTCATCAACAATGATACCTACACAATGAATATTTGTATACCTAACCCTGAATTTTACCCCACAATTGTAAAATAAAAAATTTAAAAGTTAGAAAGGTGTCATTATTGATAGAGCTCTCATTTTTTTAGTGTAATAAAAAATAAGAAATATGTGAATAAAAAATTGTGTATTTTTAAAATGTAAATTTATTTGACATTTTATATAGCATCTACAAAGGCGCTTTGTTTTATTTTTCTTAAAATATGTTGATAATGTAGAATTAAATGTCACTAAATTCTATGGTGATGGTCATTTATTGTGTAATTTGTAAACAATGTTTATCTGAAATTGAATATCTTTGAGTTTTAGGTAAAAGAAGAAAGCCAGGTTTCAAAATAGTAAAAAGCAACATAGTTTTGTTTGTTATTAAAATTTGGGTTTTATTTACAAACGAATCAATTTTTTAATATTATATGTGTTTGTATGAATGTGTGTGCTGAAGATTAATGTTAGTATGTGAATTCAGTTTAAATTTTTAGTTTAGTGTAGGAAAAAATTTCAAGTTTTTCAATGAAAATTTCAGAAGACATTACAAAGAAGCTCTTATAAGTATATTTTACTTTCCAATAGAGTCCACTCAGATTTAATACATTTAAAATAGAGACTGAAGAAATGGATTCAATGATACTCTTGTTTTTGTGGTATGAAACTTCTCAGGGCAACTCTTCAGGTCCTCTCCTATTGTGGGAGATTTTCTGTCCTCTCTATAAAACCTGCTTTTTCAACAAAAAAGAGAGATTCCTCAAAGTGATTATTTTCAGCCAATACCATGAAACCTTGTGTATTTATTGTTAAACTGAAATATTGTTTACTCCTTGAATAATAGACACTGTCTTTCTTTAACCACTCGAGTGCCTCTCCTGTCATTCTTTATTTTCTCCTTAATAACCTCCAAGTTTTCTCCATGATCCATCATTAAAAGAGTTAAACATTTCTTCCATCAGGGAAATCCAAGACTCTGTAATTCATAAGTTCTAAAGGCCCAGTACTCTTGATTCATTCGTTTTATTTATTTATTTATTATTATTTTTTTATTTTAAAGATGTGAGATCAATTCAGAGTCATGTATGGAAGTGGTCATTATGCAGGTACCCTTGTTAATGAGGTGTGCCCCCTCCTGAAGGTCGATGCAACTATTCCCTCAAATACCACCTTTTAGGCTGCCCCATTGGCTACCCAGGGTCACATAAAAGGATCAACTTCATTTTCAAGCATCCTTCTCTCAAGGATTGGGCAGTTGACTCTTGGAAATGGTGAAAAAGGACATTTATATACATTGCTTTTGTCTTCAATATCCCCAGCCAGAACAGACTCAGATCCTAGCAAGAGAGAGGGAATCCCGTTAAGCAAATACCTAACACTAATATTGGTTAAACTCATACTGGTTTAACTTTTCTTGTTTGAGCAGATAAATTCTTAATTATTAGATTACTTATTCTGTTCAATATAATTTTTACCTCTCTTTCTTTCCTATCATATCTTTCTATAATCCCTCATCTTTGAATCCACTTAATTCTGGATTCTATAATATGCTGCATACCTATCTGACTCTGTTCTTGGAGTATAAGTTTATCTAGGATAGGTGAGTTCAGTTTTCATTTCACTGAAGCACACAGTACCTAAATGCTCAGAATATGTCTCCAGAATAAAAATAAGCTCATCAAATAACTGAGTCATTAACAGTAGATAAGAATAATGTCTCACTTTTAAGTATTTTAATTTTGAGGACTACTACTGAATTCTCAAATTTCTATGTGATGCTAATATTGACGAAGACAAAAGTATATGCATGTGTTTTCAAAATGTATCATTCATTATCAGGTTCTATTTAGTGCAATTCAACAAGGTGACAAGTGTTTCCCATGCTTTTCAGCTTCTAGTTGATTTTTATCAGCTTATGTGACACTCAGAAATCAGAACACAATATCAAGGGACAGACCAAGAAGAAAGGAATGAATGTACCAGAAAAGAATAACCTTGTTAATTGAACTGCATTTCCACCTTCTTATTGCATGATTTAATTAGAGAGCATGATTACTAGTTCAGAAATATTAGGTGCTACATAAGCAAATATTTATACTGTAATTTAGACTACAATTTGTTATCATAAGGGCTTTGCTATTTTTAAAAGAGATATGCTTTTTAAAAGGTATTATTATGTTTTGTGCTTTATTTTTGTTATCGGCATGTGTCTGTAATTCCAACTACTTGGAAGTCTAAAGTGGGAGAATTGCTTGAGTCCAGAAGTTTAAGGCCAGGTTGGTAGCACACTAAGTTGCCAACTATTAAAAAAAATTCTGATTGAATCTACAGTGGTCACAAATATATTATATTAGATTAAAATAACATCTGTATTTAGATGTTTGTAGATGTAAGGTACACATTAACATTTACACAGTCTTTTCTTTATTTTTAATGTGATAGAATTTACCAAACTACATGTGCATGTACACA